AGTTTCTGCTTCTGGGCGGTATCGGAAATTGGACGGAGGATGCTCATCCGGGTTTGGGGCTCTCGAGTACTGGCTCGTCTGCAAGGGGCAGACGTTAAACTAGCATACACATCCTTTGACTGCTTGCGCATAACCCACGTTCAGAATCGTAGCTACTCCCTTGGTCCCAAGATGCAAGACAAGTCGATCTCGCAGTCGTCAAGGGTTTCCAAAAGGGCCTTTTCGGTGTGAAGCCAATGGTTGAACTCGTCCTGCAGCCAGAGTCATTGCACGGTACTTGCTATACATATTTGTTGAATAAGGGGTTCTGATATGCTGTCACCATCGTGAAATTCAATCCCGTTCCCCGGCTCTCCAACGACGATTCTGGGCTCCTGGGCCCGCAGTTTAAGACCCGTCTTGGCCGAAAGTGATTCAACTTGCGGTTTGACAGGAAGGGTAGGCTTGTCGTAAGTAAGGCAGATGCATAAGCGCAAGCTTCAAGACGCAGAGCTTTGCGTGGCGAAGCACCACGTGGCCAAGGTCCTTCGTGACAACAATGTTCCTCTCCATCATGTCAGCCCGGATCTTTTGAGTGAGCTCGTCGTACTCGCTTGCGCTATGCGGCTTGTAACCATACCTGCAACTTTCTGCCGCCAAACGGAACAAGCACTCTTTTGTGCGACCATCGCACATGAGCCATCCACTCTCGCTCCTAAAAACATCACAGTCAGGGGCACATCTCTTTCAGACCCAGCATTTTCCTTAGCGAACGACAGAGAATGGGCTGCAACCATAGCCAGTCACTAGTGCAAAGCTATCCGTTGCTGATTGAAACTTCAGTCTCTGCAAGGGCCGCGTGCGGTCACGGCTCTCTCTCAAAATCTTCGACACACGCCGAGGGCGCCCTTTCTTCTCCATCTCAGCTGCCTGCCCACAAGATCAAAAACGTTGAGTCTTGCAGTCACACCGAGCCCAAATGTAATCACTCATGTAGGCGCGAACTTCTTGATGCCGGACCTCGCTCTCAGCCTCTTTTCGCAAAATGCTCGTCAATATCAGGTGTCCTTACACACAGGACGTGGCATGCAGACGGCAGACATCTCAAGACTCAGAGGTCAAGGGTAGCTGCAAACAACATGGTGCAGCTAGTGCCTGGGAGTCTGGACGCGCAAACAGGTACAAGAGGGAATCATGGCAACATCCATTGACATCTGGATGGGGATCGAAAAGTAAACAGATAGACAGATAGGTTATGTTTTTATGCGACGCTTTCTGTCGATTCAATGACAGCGTACCTACAGACACTTGGTGTAGATGTGTATACATGTTTGGCGGAAGTACTCCCGAACAGACATAACATAGCCATGAAAGGCGATGGTGCCCGAGGGCCCTCTAAAGTTTCCACACCAGAGTTCAAGTGAAAACCACTCACTGGTATGGAACAGCTTGTGCCCAGATGCCACTGTCAGCATCTCCAAACAACACCCTGTTGTATAGTTTGTGATCAGGCGCCGGTATGTGCTCTTCTGCATCAAGCGGAAACTATCGGAAACTACTATGAATCCCCAAAAGGCTTCTGCATTGCCTCATGCGACCATAAGTATGGTGCCCCCTCGGTCCGTATCCTGTGACAATGCCGTAAGTGTATGGGTCCAGTATGGGTATCAAAAGCCTTGCACCCTAAAGTTATAAATATATACCGAGTGTACACATAGACAGAATAAAGTTTATTTGCATCTATGCTCACCTCTCTATCTAGGCATGACATGTACTCCTGTATAACTGGATCTAGAGCAAGCCTGTGGGCATTTGCATGTCTGGGTGCTTACGCACATGCTATATGTGCAGAGATGATGCGTCATGCATGCATCCATACCTGCATGAAAACAAGCACTGTAGAATGAGATACATCCACACATGAACAGATACAAACTCAGAGAGACTGTGGATTGAGAGAAAGACACCAACAGACATGCATGCATTTCGTCGCGGCACTCGCAAGCAACGTCTAAACATGCGCACACATCCGCAAAACCGGGACAGACGGATCTACCCTCAAGCCCGTTTCGGCGGGACTGTTAACGTAGAGCGGACGAGCGATGGTTTGCGTGCTTCCATCATGTAAAGGCATTACCATCGATTCGCATCTATTTCGAAACCAGAGTTTAAGACTTTCGACGGAAACACTTCTGACGAAACTCGAATCCTAGCCGTAGGCCAAAGCCAAGAGTTCCGGTGAGGACAAGACACTCAATGCATCGGAGATGATGAATGCCGTCTTCGGTGCATTCTGTCCCAGCTCCCGTTGTCTCTTCCTGACTCATCTGACTCGCACTGTATTGCCATACTGCTCATGGCCGGACCGAGCCAGAGCCAACCGGGCCCAATCTCAAGGACTTTTGCTATGCTTCTGTAAAGGCAACGGAGTGCGGGACTTGAGACTTGCCTCACGAGTTCCAATCGAGGGGCTTGGTACTGCCATCGGTAACGTTGTCGATGAACACTGCCTTGCACTGGCTCAGACACACGCAGCCGGCTCAACCCGTGCATAAGCTATTCTCGGGCACATAGAAACGCGAGAGTCACACCAGCAGCAGTAGCAGAAGCAGCTGTCAGAATGGCGGCTGTGCAGCTGCTTCTCGCAATCGTTGTTGCAATGGAGTGTTTGTGATCTGCATAGTAACAACGGTTCTTGCTTGTGGTGGCAGCAGTGCTAGATTATACACCGAATTGCAGACTGATCATCCGCCGTTGCACATTTGTTGTTACGGATGGCACGAGGAATGATAGCCGCGGCAACAGATTTAGAAGTTTCTGGCACTGCGCCGGGAAGGGATGCGATGCTGTGGGGATGGACGAGAAATCTGTCTGGTTGACTTCGAGAGTTTGCAGATAAAGAGCTCGACCCGATCTCGATACCGTGACAAAGGACTGACCGTTCATCCAGATGTTCAGGCAAGCAGCCATTATCAGATTGAAAATCCCAATGGTGACGAAAAGGAACAGCAGAATGTATGCGATCATGAAGGGCCCACCAAACTCCTGCTTGAGGCGAGCAACTCCAACAGGCTGCTTGTACCGGGAACGTTGCTTAGCTCATTACATGGGCCGCAAGGAAGTTCGATGTTCGAACGGTCTTAGACTCCAGGCTTGGACTCGCACTGGTCACTAGTCCTGTTCGAGCTTCCACTGTAGCGGAGTGCCATCGAAAGCAACACACCCATCGGTGAAACAACGGAAGTTGGTGAGCATGGCGATCGGAACCTCAGGAAGCACTCGCTTGAAACTGACTTGTGCATGCGTGCGGCACTCAGCAGAATCCGAAAGTCGCATCTACAGTCTGAACGTGTCCAAGCTCCCCTCCGGGCCCACGCGCACACCACAGCAATGGCAGATTCGGCACCCCAGCAAGGTGCTTAGAAAAACTGACATTGCATGACGGGTGGCTGTTGAAAACTCGGCGTAGTCACTGAATATGGTCCTAGTCACCACCCCGAGCAAGTACATACATCCCACGAGCAGCACGACCGCCCAGAAGAGCACGCGCAGTCCAGTGAAGACACCTTGAATCATGAGCTTCAGTTCCTGGAAGATCTTGAACTTTAACAAGCGCACGATGCGCCCTAAACGAGCCAGCTTCAGCATTTTCAGAGAACTGAGAGCGCCAGTGTCATTCTCCTCGCCTTTAGCCGCCGCCGAGAAGTTCAAGGACAAGTCCACGATTGCCAGTACGACACAGATGACGTCGAACCAACTCCAGTACCAGTCTGACCCCCATATATATTCTATGAAGCCGAAAACCCGGATTTTCACCACGATCTCACCTACGAAGAACAAGGTGAAGGCCATCTCCATGGCGACCCAGATTCCATGCTCAGGCGAGATGTCTTGGCTGAAACCTGCAACAACCGCGCTTATCAATATGACAATGGACGGGACGACGTCGAGCATCAGCAGGAATGTTGCCTAGCTCTGCAGATGCTGTGAACACGGCTTGAGTCACCGTTACTGCACACCATTCGAAAGCAATCTTCAAACACAAACACCATGAAGTATAAAGTACAAAACCCCTTGTTACAGGTATAGACCTTGTCCTACCCGAAAAGTAACAGGAAGGCTGCATCATCCTCTGTCTCCTCTTCCGAGTCGTTAGTCCTCAATGAGTTTCGCAAGAAGCTGCTGCGCCGGGATGCCCTAGATTTCAAAGACTTCATGTGGTCGGTCATCTTCGGGGGGCTGGAAGCAGGCGGTCGGGGCGTGTCTGGCAGCGACGGCGCGTTATCGCCATTGCAGCTTGCAACGTCTTCGTTCGCGTCCCCCTTAGCACCGTCACCGGGAGGTTTTGGTTCATTGGGATCGCCTTCCAAGATTTGTGGGCTCAGCTTCTCGCTGTCGCACAAAGCCCCTGGAAGCTGCACTGTGCTTTCCTGGAGATTTAGAGTGGACACGGTCGCCATTGGTGGCAACGGAGGCATGGAGCCACTTTGAGTGAGCTGCCGGAGATCTCCGAACTCAGGTGCCTGTCCCAGTGGGCCCAGCTGCTTGCGGAGTTGGGCATTCTCCAAGATCACCTGCTCATATACCGCATTTAGTGCCTCGAGGTGCCGCTGGAAGGAATCCTCCATGGCCGACCCCGGCTTCGAAAAAATCGCACACACAGAGAACCCGCTGCTGAGCCACAAGGCGCACAAAGTTTACGAGATCCTTGGAACTCTGACCATATGGACCATACATGTCTCCAGGTGCAGCATCAGGCTCACACGGTTTCAGCCTGCAGTGTACATTCTATATTCTGAAACACAAAACGGGTTCTGAAATTGAGGCTGCTATTCGGTACAGGTACGCCAACCGTCAGAGGACCACTCATAACGGCAACTTGCGGTGGATGCCTACCGAGACCCACCTTCAGTTGCGATAGCCACATGAAGACCAATGGCAACGTTCGAGCCATGGATAAGGATCCCGTTAACTCAAAAGGCTCTCTGATATCTGTTCTCTTCAGGCTTTAGCCTCGGTGCCGCCACTTCGCGCAGCTGCCACAAGCGGAAATCGCAGCATTGCAAGCAGCTGCGGCTGGCTTTGCGTTTGTCGATGATGCTGGCCTGAGGACAGGCAGCCTGAAGCTCTTCACAGCGAACGGCCATACTCTGTGTGGCATCTGTAGCACCGGTGTGCACTGCGGCATACTGGTCTGCCGAGGTTGGCAACGCAGCGTCTGGAAAACGAAACATTAAGCTGAATCAGTTGATCAGGGGCGAAGCTGCAAGCAGAATCGCTGCTTGCCACTTGTCGCCTCGGCAAACACCAATGTTGGCAGCAGTTCTGGACATGCGCATGTGATCATGTACGAAAGGATGATAAGCTACCGAGACGGCGCACGTGTATACTGCGAGGCATTTGTGGAGATGACTCGAACAGCAGAGTGCGTCTCCTCCCGCTATGTATGGGTGCTGTTATGCAAACCTCAGTCGAGACTGGTCGAGACTGGTCGAAGCCTTCTCAAGACCGAAAGCAAGCACATGCTGTCAGGATCGTGAATCCATTGGCCGACAAACCTGCCTGCAGCACAGGCAGTGACAGCAGCAGTGAGGGAGACGATGCTGGGCTGCAACCCCGACTCCTGCACGCTCATCGTGATGTGTGAGGGTTGTCATTCCTGGTTCCATGCGTGCCAATTAGGAACCCTTGCGCTTCGCCCTTGCGTGTCCCTTGGGTGTGCTTGTGCACGCGAGACTTTCTCAGGATGTGGGCTTCTTCAACTTCATAGCTTATCATCCTTAGCAGCCTTAGCAACAGGCTTGCACAGAGCTTGCACAAGCCTTCACGCGAACTTGCACACGCTCGAACGGTGTGCATGGTTTGAACCGACCGAGTTTTCGCCAATCCCCCCATAGCCATGTCACGCGAACCCTCCAAAATCAACAACCGTGCCCAAACTGCCAAGTGACATAGGCAAGACAGCTTCAAGCTGCTCCTGCCGCAGCATCCAAAAAATGTGCAGGGCCTTCTGCCACTCTTCACCGCGGACGCAAGCGCCTTCCGAGAGCCCGGCAGAACAGTGACGACGCCGTCATTAATTATCTTTAATTGTGTCTAAGAAAACCTGTGAATCCAACTTCCGTGCTACAAAAAAAGGCTTTCTGAAGCCACTGCGGCCACGGGGGCTTAGGCAGGAGTTGTAGGTGATGGTGTTGGCCTCACAGGCGTGCATCGTAAAAGCGCAAAGTTCTAAATGCAGCATAAGCGTCCCAACGTGCTCACTCCAAGCTTGTTGGAGGAAGTATTGCCTACACTGCCAAAGACGGCTACGCACGGAGGCTCACTAGCTGGTGTGTACAACGATGTAGACGGCCTGAGTCCCTCCACTTCATGTTGACCAAGTTGCTTCTACCGCACTGCGGTTCATCTCATCCAATACGCACATGGCCAGCTGCCACTGTGCACCTGCTGCATGCTGCAGCAGAACCATCGCTGCGCATCTGCCGGTGCCAGAGCTCTGCTGGCAGGCAGGACAGAAGAATGCAGACCAAACGCTCACCATTCTGTCTCAGAGTCCGACAGATATCTAGAATCTAGAAGTACAGCAACAACAATAACCAACAACAAGCAACAAGCAACAAGCAACACGCAACACGCAACAACCCACAACCCACACCCACAACCACAACCACAACCACAGCAGCAACAACAACAACAACCACAACCACAACCACAGCCACAGCCACAGCCACAGCGACAAGCACAAGCACAAGCACAAGCACAAGCACAAGCACAAGCATAAGCATAAGCATAAGCACAAGCACAACCAACAAAAACCAACAACAACCAACGACAACCAACGACAACCAACGAGAACAAGAACAAGAACAGGAACAAGTACAAGTACAAGTTCGCGCATAGCCTTCAGCTCAATTAAGCCGACCAACCTTTCTCGAGGCTGCTGATCAACGCGTTGTGGGACACCACCTTCTTTCAAGTTCTCAGAACGCAAGCAAGGGCCTGCAAACTTCACGTGAGAAGACGAGGTGACGAGGCCCCCATGCCCGGAGCTGCTCTCTGTACGATTTATGGCTGGAACGGGGGCCAGCATCTCTTAAATATTCCTTGCAGCGCAAAATCCCATGATCGTTGCAGCCGATTCCATGCGTTCGCATTCCTGATAACTTAATGGTTGGCCTAGTTGTTGCTCGTCTGCGGCTGTCTGTTTGCATTGCTTGTTTCTGACTTTTTGCTGCGCTCTCTGCGCCTTCGAAACGCATGCTTTTGTTTGCCATGCTTTCCTCTCGTCGTGCAGACTCCAACTCGGCCTCTGAAACTTTGCACATCAACCCAAAGTAGCCAGGGAATCCCTCGCTGTGAGAATAGTTCGCAGCAGAAAGACGTCCTGACTTCGGAGTAATGAACTCCTTCCACGTGCCCACCAAAAGCGGGTCTCGCTTACAGGGCTCGAGGAGACACCCTGCCACTTCTGAGAATTGCCAACATCAGTAGCATGTGCAAGAACGAGCGATCCAAAGAATAAAAGAGTAATCCAGCTGAAACGAACATACTCGGAGGCAGCTCTTGTACATGTTGGTATTTCTATTTGGTAGGGTGTTGAGTCTTGGCTCCTGCATGGACGACTCCCAAAAGCCAACTCCGCAGGTCTCACACACTCAGAAAGCCACTACCCCAGGCAAGAAACTAAGGCTCGGCGGTGGGTGCTAACTCGTATAACTCACACGGCTTACAACTACTTCAAACCAGCAGGGCAGCAGGGCTTAACGGTTTAACGCGTGCTCCGCTTCCATGTCCGTTTGCGAGCGCCAGGAGGAGGACATCTAAGCTTTGACCACAAGGTAAATAAACTGTTGGCCTGCAGAGCGGGAAATTGACTTCTGTTTCTGCTCCGAACCAGGACAAGAGTGTTGTCGTGAATTGCCACGGCGAGACTGCCCTGCATGCCACGACACGATTATTGAGTGACGTAGGGTGGGACTGAATCGTATCGTGTGTGTGGTAGCACTTGATGTCCGAGGGGCCAAGCTAACGTGCATTGCTGCTTTCGTGCAAGTTGTGCCGATGGGATGACGTTTGATCTTCTCGAGATGGTGGTTCTGACATTCTGAGAATGGAATTGAAACTCCATGCCGCTAGGTGGCATCAGACTTCAAGCCCAGCTTCCACAGCCCATGGAAAAGCTGCAAGGCCTTCGCTAAGCACGCCAAAAGGACTGCGAGGGCTGACGGCAAAACGCATGCAAATGTCGTAACTTCACGGAGCTTGCACCGAGTCTTAATGCAGCGCTCCCTGAACCGCAACTGTCCACTTCAACAGGGTGGGCCTGGTGCCAGACTGCTGCAGTGGCACACGCACTGATGGCCGAGTTCACCACGATGACATCCTGCGAGCAGCCACTGTTTCTCACAACGTGACAGTCTTTGCCGAATCTGCGCTGTGGACAGTGGCCAAGCTGAAGCCCGAAGCTCAAGTTGTCGGCATAATTCAGGGCAAGTCTACTGCAAGCTGTTGAATCCTGGCTGCGTCGGCTTGCGAAAGGCATGTGACGACCAAGGCGCCGACACTTCGAGGAGAACTGCAACTCGTGCACGAGTGCTGAACCTTTTCATGTCCAAGGGGCTACTTCCAGACTTCGTCCCTCGACGCCAGAAAGCAGACAAAGCGACTGCTTCCAAGCACCACCTGATCGAACCGAGCCATTTAAGGGCGCACTTGCTTCATTTTCGGTTCCGCTGCTGTGACTCCTGAACCCGTTTCTCCGACCCCTTAATCCGATAATTTGTGGCACGGGCCGCCTGCTGATGGAATCACGCGAACATCCGTCTAAGCGACTCTCGACTGTCAAGTGGCCATTCGAAACGGGACCCAGGGTGTTCAAGCAGTGACCCCAAATGGTGCCCTGCCAGCAGCGCCAGCAGCTCTTCCAATGTTCTGGGTAGTGTCACTACTTGGCTCCAGGTCTCGGCCTGCCTTAAGGACTGCTGTGCCTGCGGGCCGGATGTGCGGGGCCCTATAAGACGCCTCCTGTTAACTTTGCCCCTCTCAATTCTCTCAGTCCCTCACATTCTCAGCGTCACAGAGCCAGGTGATCCCCCTTCACATTCTGGCCGGGGGTCGGGACCCCTCATTTTATAGAGAGACACGGTCCGGGTCCCGGGGAGTCCTTGGGGATCTAGCAGAACCACGGCTCTATAAAATGAGTGGTCCCGACGTCATTTTTTGAGAGCTTGCCTTGATTGTCCGGTAAGCA